ACCCAAGGTCACTGGGGACCCAAGCCATAGCTGTGTCTGTGGACATATTAAAGGAGCCAATGCATCCGAGGCACCCTGTGCAGCAACTGGCACATAGTCAGCCTGCAGTAAATGTCAGCTTTTGTTAAATTCACTCTTCAACATCTACACATCTAATATTCTCCTATTCTATTGAAGGTGCAAAAGAAGGAGACACAGGTTAACATCTTAACAGGAGAGCTTGAGATTAAACCCAGAGAACTTCCAGAGAGGAAGGGCTGTAAAATGCCTGTAAAGACTATTAAAGAATACGACAGGACTGTGGATAAACTTAGACTCAGGACAGATTCCTGTGTGGCGACTGAGACAGGACTAATGCAGCTCTTCCCTGAGGCAGGGGACCCACCCCAGTCATCAGGGTGGGTCATTTCTGCACTGGGTGGCCCTAGCCCTTCCTCTCCTGCCCCCATGGAGACGAGAGCTGCCCTGTGAAGGAAAAGCCTCCTCATTTCAATGGCTGGGCAGCCCAGGTTAACATTAACGGAGTCCTCCAGCAGAAAGCACCCAGAGGACAAGCACTGAAAAATATGCTTGAAGGGCCAGCCGAGTGGCCAGGATTACAATGTGATGCCTGGCCTTGGGTCAGTAATGGGGAGGTATTAGTCATCTCTTCAGACCTCAGCTCCATTATTTTTGCTGGAAATGTGAGAACAGCTCTCACTAATAACGTGTGGAATCACTTCCAACTATTTGCCTTTCAAGTCAGCCTCCTCAGGTCGGGTGACATATCTCGTTTAACAGGGGGTGCCATTAGAGGGAAGATTTAACGTGTGGCTAAAAGCATTTGTAGCGAGAGCTGTGGGTGGGTTCCTTTTTAAGCTTCTGTGGCTGGTAACTTGCGTCTCTTCCCTCCGTGCTGTTGGGTTTTGTTATTGAAGCCTTTTTCTTTCCTGAAGGAGGTTGGTCATTAACTCTCCCCTTCCCGGAGGATACCCTGGCATGAGCAGGGCAGGTCGAGAGTTGAATCAGAAATCTTTCCTGTGCCAATCAGAGACTGCATGAGGTTCAGCAGGCTGGCATAATTATTTGAAGCTTCTTGCTGTCCTCATACAAATGCCCCCCTGATCGGGTGACCTGGTGTCCCTTGATGTCAAGGTCTTACAGCAATAACCTCAGCCTTGAAAACAGAACCACAAATTTACCAGCCCACATATCTACCGACAATATAAGTCCTGCCTCTTCTCGTGCCTTGAGAGGGCCAACAGTCATGTCAGGAACAGTGGAAAGAAGAGGGCTGAGAAACTGGAAGAAGAATTTGTTATTTTACTGAAACCTCCTTTCTTGACATTTTTCCCTGAAGGCTGGGACCATTTAAGGCCCTGATGAGCTTCCAAAATCTCTGTTCCAGGGTAATCTTCCCATCTCCCAAAGTCTCAACTTCTCTGAGCCTCTGATTCTTTGAACACAGAGAGAGTAATAGCTACCTATCAAATGAAAGGCTATAGTTAGAAGCACTGAGCACAGGGCTTTGCACATGGGAGGGGCTCAATAAACACGTATCACTTACATCATTTTTGGTTACAAGTTACAAGTCATAGAAAATCCAACCAAAGTGCCTAAATAGAGGGAATTTATTGGATTGTATAATTAAGAAATCCAGGGCTAGGCCTGGCTTTGGGAATCTAGTTGGTGGCTCAGGAAACTCTCTCCAGGGTTAAGTTTCTCTGTGGCCATCCCTTGACTGGGCTTCCTATGTCCTGGCTCCAGGTCATTCAAGGCTTGGTGGCAGCAAGATGACAGCAGCTGTATTCGTCCCAAGTCCAACAGAGAAAAGGCTGCTCTTCCCCTACCTCACCCCCCAACAATTCACCTAAGTCCTAAGCCAGACACTTACTGGGCAAGTTGGGTTATGGACTCATCCCTGAGCCAATCGCCAAACCTTAGGCCTTGGAATGTAATGACTCGGTTTACCCCTGAGTCTCAAACTCCACCTGAAGGGGAAGAATGAAGGACGGAGCCCCATCAAACTCAAGGGGCTGAGAATTGCATGGAAAATATATCTCAAAAAAAAAAAAAAAAAGGTATAGTTTCACTACCAAAAAAGTGGCCAGGGAGGATATCAGGGTGCCCAAACATAGAAATACCCACTGCAAATAATAATTTACCATCCTACCCCGTGTGTGAGATACAGCTTATTTGAGAGTAATGTTTAATAAAGATATATCATCCAGGAAATCTCCATGAAGTCACCCTCAAAACTTTCCAGCAAAGTGCCCTCTCCCCATATATTAGTAATATATTGATTATACCCATTATAGCACTTTTCTCATCTGTCTTCTATTAGAGTTACTTACTATAAGGCTCTGTCACCTCCATCGCCATTAAGCTCCAGGTGGTCAAATACAGGGTTATTTTTCTCCTCACCCCACACAGCACAAGGCACACAGTGGGAAATCTGGGTGCTTCCTGACCCACACTGGCTCCCTGTATCCAGTTCAGCTCTGTTCTTCCCTTTCCTTCCCCTGACCACTTTGTCTACTTGGGGTTAGACTGGGAGGGACTAATGGATTTGATGAAGTCTAAGGTCAGAGGTTCCCCAACTCACCCTCTCTCTTGCTAGCATCTGCCTCTGTTACAGCTTCTCTCATGTTGTACCTTGGGTTGTTTTGCTGGTTTCTCACCATCAAAGAAGTTTCTGGGAGCGAGTAGGGCCTGACCTTTTCATCTCTGTTACCTTGGTGCCTAGAACAGTATCTGGCTCCAAGAAAGCACCCAGTTAAGTGGTATAATCAGTACGAGTGACTCTCACTCATAATCGCCCCTTAGATTCTCAAAGAAGAGCCTCATCTATTAGGGCTACTGAAAGGTAAGATTCTCAGCCCAGGTGAGGAGTTCGAAATCCAGAGGACTACAATGCAGAATACATAAACAGAGAAGGAACCGTAAAGCTCACTGTTGTTCCTTGCTCTCCATCAAGCCAGAGAAGATGCAGAGACAGTACAGGGAGCCTGACAGGCAACAAGGGGCAGACTGAGTTAGTACAGCAGGGGGCCTTCAGCTTGACTCAGCATGCAGTTGGTACCCATGGAGAAAGGAGAGGCAAACAATTAGTGGGGGGCTGGCAACAAAGACCCTCAAAGGCAGAAAAGCAAAACAGCTGTGGCTCTGAATGAGCAGCCTGGCAAACCATGATCTCAGTAGTGTCCTGAAGCCAAGAGGAACAGGCTCCACTCCCTGGGATGTGGGTTGGAAAGGGCCCAAGAGGAGGCCAGTAGCTCAGTCAGATGTGACTGGAGCTCAGGGGGCTGTAGTGCTAATTAGGAAACTAAGGCAGAGTCCCAGCACTAGGAATGGAACCACTTTAGTGGTGATCAAGGGAAGGGTGTTTGCCACAAACATACTGGATCCTGAATCTGTGGGCAGACATCTGACTACAGCACTTCCCCTACCAGTAAAAGGGAGGTGCTAGTGCCCTCCTAGCCCAATTAGGGCAGGCTCCGTAGCTGGGTGGCGCTGAGCTTGTAGGAAAAGGCCTACTAGGCTGTGCCCTGCTGGGCTGGGCAAGCCAGGACGATGGCTGGACCAGGTGAGAAAGATTTCCTGCTGTATTTGCAGACTGAATATGTGTCTGGGGCCAGGGGCTGAGCTGCTGCCAGCACCATCTGACCTCAAGGATCCCCCTAGTCAACAAGCAGCAAGAACAGGAGACTCCAGAGGCTCCCTCAGCTTTGGAGATAGCTCTGCAAACAAAACTCAGTTTTTAGGGGTTAATCCTCAGCCCCAGGAGGAGGCAGTGGGCCTCCTCTGAAGGGCAGAGCCAGCAAGTGGGCTGAGACTAAAGGCAAGGCCCAGGGCTGCAGGCCTGAGATTAGTTTGGCAGCAGCTCCAAAGAGCAGCCCTTGAATCGCAGGGATTGTCTGAGCCCTCAAAAGCACTGGCTACCTCCCACCAGCCTAGCTAATGGGGCTGAGTTGCTGGGGGCATGACCTCTGTCTAGCCGGTTGATGGTCTGCTGCTTTGAATCTCACTCCCCCAGCACCCAGCAGGACCAAGGACTCCGTCTAGCTTATGTGCATCGCACCCTTACATGTTTTCAGCACCTACTATGCGCGCAGTATCACACCTCCCCCATCCGCCTGCCTCCTGCTACTCTCACCAGCACGCTCAGTCAACCCTTGGGCTAATTAGTGATTAGGTCTACCGTATGTATGCATGGTGGGGTGCAGAGATGGGGTAGCCAGCGGGTGATGGGTGAGGGGAGAAGAGAACAGGAGCTAGGAGGTCATGGTCTGACCTTCCTCCAATGCCCAGAATCCCTGAGTCTGTCTCTGGCAGCTGTGAAACAGAGGGAGCATGGGATCTGAACCGTGCCGCCATCTGGGAGGTCACACACACTCACAGACAAACCCCAGGAAGTAAACTTGGGCTGAAATACACCGTTTGCTGAAGAGCAGGGCTGGGCACTGGTTTCCCTCCATTCTGAATTTCTAGAAAGGGAGGGGTCTCCGTTGCCAGGCGGCGACTGCCACCCCTTCCCACTGCGGCACCTCCAGCCCTCCACCCCTTCCTCTGGGAGACCCCCTGTGAGGACCCTCAGCAAACTTCTGCAAGGCCTGACGGGCGCAGGGTGGTGCGAACGCGTTATCTTTCAGGCCAAGGGAGAGGCGACGGGAGTGTGGGCGTGGAGGTGCGAGGAGCGCGCAGCCTCCGCCTGCTCGGCTGTCTCCGCGGACCCAGCCGAGGGAGGAAGATAGCGCTGGGAAAAGGAAGGGGAGAAAGAACCTGAGCGGGAGGCGAACCAGAGGCTCTTTTGCTCCTCCCAAAGCAGGGGGTGGCTCCACCGCGCTCCTGATGAGCCGGCAGCCGCCGCCGCCCTGCAACCGCGAGACTGATGACCCACGGCGGGGGTGCTGGGCGCGAGTTGCGCAGGCCACTGGCCGCGGGCTTCAGGCCCGCTCCTGCCGCCGGCTTCCGCGGTAATGACACTCTGCGCAGCGGCCGCCATCTCTTCCGGTACCTTCACTGGAGGAGCGAGGGGTGGGGAGAGCCCTCTGTTCACCCCTGCCCTGCCCTGGCGCTGGTCCGCCGCCGCCCGCTGCTCTCGCGCTGGTCCGCAGCTCAGCCGAGCAGCTCCCTTCATCTGGCCGCCTAGTCCCTCACTCAGCCGCGAGAGGTGGAGCTCCGGCGACCTCCGGCCTTCCCTCGGGGTCTGCGCGGCCCCTACCCCAAACCCGCCCAGGGGAGAGGCGTGAAGGGGCCGGCTGCGATGCAGAGGCGGGAAGCGAGGCTGGAGAAGGGGACGCGGGGAGGCAGGGAGTGGACCCCCAGCGTACTACAGGAGCCGGCAGGAGCCAAACCCCAGCCCGCCACACAGGTATCCCCGCGGACCACGAGGTGCCACCCGTCCCTGGTGCAGAAAAGACCAAGACCCCCAGAAGGGAAGGCCCAGCTTCCCTACCTCTACCTCCCATGCCAGGCGCCCAGCCTGCTCAACTTAACCCCAAGCCGCAGGTTAACTCTGCCCCAGCTTCTCCCCTTGGCTATGGGCAAGCTCCTCTTCTCTTCCCCAGTGAGAACCACCGCTCAAAATCCGAGGGCTTTCCTCCTTGGTGCTCAGAGCTCTCAAGATGGGTGATTCTTTGCCAGGGGTCCTTAGCTACCCACTTTGGACGAGGATGGACAGATAAAGTTTTCTCAAGCTTGCCTAGAGCACAGTTTCTAAACAGATGAGCTCTTCTTATGTTCCCCACAGATTGTCTGGCCTACGCTCCTTTGAGGAAATAAAGATGACCGTAGCCAAGCTGCCCTGCTCTGCACGAAGGACCCTGGGCGCCCCATCCTAACTCTCCTGCCTTATGCTTGAGATTAGCATATCCACCCAGCAACTCCCCTGCCCCAGACTTACTTGACCACTGCAGTCCACACTGACTCTCCTATCCACCAGAACTGTGCACTTAAAATCTGCTGCACACAATCCCATACTTGCTTGAGTCTGGCTTTGTTCTCCAATAGTTTCAAATGCCTGTTTGACTCCCCCCGCCACCCCTACAGAGATAAGGTCATCACAAGCAGTAACTACTGCTTTGCTTGTTTTGATTCCCACAGAGCCGAGCATAGATTGATGTGGCATAAGTGCTCAATAAATGCCCATGGACTTGGCTAATGGATGGACTTGCAGGGGACACTGCCCTATCAGGAGAGAAAGGTGGCCTTAATCTCATAAGGTCCTATTTCCTGGGAGTGTCTCAAAAATCGGCAGAGTCATTCTCCCCCCACCATCCCTCCTTGCCTCCAGTCCCCTCGGCCTTCTGGATCCCCGTGGGTTTGGAGAGGCCGATGCTTGTGGCTCTTACCAACATCAATTTGCAGTCGCCAGGATGCAACTTCACCCTATGCTGCGTTCATAAATTAATCTCCTGGGATTAGATTCTGTGTTTTAGTAACACTCCTGAGGCATTGTATTTACACATTAATAATAAAAGAAAAAAAGTGAGACAAGTTCTGACAACTTTCAATAACATTCAGAAATAAAGTGCGAGGCACGGAAGTGTCCAAAGTTAATTAAAACCATTTGGTGCTGACGGGGGCTGGGGGTGTTGCCTGCCGAGCTCCGACAGGTGCTATTTCTGAAATGCAATTTCCCTGTCTATAATGTACCTGATGCCTGCAGAAAAGGGGAAACCGAAATAGACTGAACTGGCAGCGTGAGCTTGAATTTTCTGTTGTTTTGTTTTACAGTGCCGTGGACACTGCCAGAATTTGTCAAAGGTCCTAGGAAGAAAAGGCCCTTTCGCCCCTCCCCTCAGTGAACAGATGGTGTGTTTGGACTGTTCGCATTCGCTGCTCATAGCTGGGGCCCTGGAGGAAGTTAAGGGGCGCTCCGTTCCCTGGGGATGAGACAGCAGCTCGCCTTTTTACTAATAGCTGTAAGAGTCTGTCAGACACTTACCTGACTAGATCTTCATCTCAGAGCTCAGAAGGGGAACAGCTCCAGAACTGAAAGAGAGAGAGCCTCTGGCAGACCCCAAAAGACAGCGTAAAGAGTGAAGCTGGGCTTCCCTGCCCAATCACTAGGATCACTTATTGCACAAATACCTGTATTTTAAGCTGCAGATTCTTATGAATGTTTGTATTTTCTTCATTTCCATTTAGCTTTTTTTTTTTTTTTTTTCAATTTTAGAATAGCCTTTCTCTAGATAACTGCAGGAAGCGGGAGACGGAATTTCCTTTGTTTCTGTCTTGAGCCCAAATGGACAACTGAGTGTCAGGTATGACAGGGATAAAGGGAGAAACTCAGAAAGAATGCTTCTGTTTTGTTTTTTTGTTTTGTTTTGAGATGGAGTCTCGCTCTTGTCGCCTAGGCTGGAGTGCAGTGGCACAATCTTGGCTCACTGCAGCCTCCACCTCCAGGACTCAAGTGATTCTTCTCCTCAGCCTCTCACGTAGATGGGACTACAGGCAAGCGCCATCACGCCTGGCTAATTTTTTTTTTTTTTTTTTTTTTTTTTTTTTTTTTTTTTGAGACGGAGTCTCGCTCTGTCACCCAGGCTGGAGTGCGGTGGCCGGATCTCTGCTCACTGCAAGCTCCGCCTCCCGGGTTTACGCCATTCTCCTGGCTCAGCCTCCCGAGTAGCTGGGACTACAGGCGCTCGCCACCTCGCCCGGCTAGTTTTTTTGTACTTTTTAGTAGAGACGGGGTTTCACCGTGTTAGCCAGGATGGTCTCGATCTCCTGACCTCGTGATCCGCCCGTCTCGGCCTCCCAAAGTGCTGGGATTACAGGCTTGAGCCACCGCGCCCGGCCTTTTTTTTTTTTTTTTTTTTTGAGATGAAGAGTCTCGCTCTGTCGCCCAGGCTGGAGCGCAGTGGTGAGATGTTGGCTTACTGCAAGCTCCACCTCCCAGGTTCGCGCCATTCTCCTGCCTCAGCCTCCTGAGTAGCTGGAACTACAGGCGCCCACCACCACCACGCCTGGCTAATTTTTTTGTATTTTTTTTAGTAGAGACGGGGTTTCACCATGTTAGCCAGGATGGTCTCAATCTCCTAACCTCATGATCCGCCTGCCTCAGCCTCCCAAAGTGCTGTGATTACAGGCGTGAGCCACCGCACCCGACCAGAGGAATGTTTTGGGTGCTACACGTGCAGCCCCTCATGACTGTATCTTCTCAGAGCTCTTTTCTTCACATTCTTGAGAGCTTTGAGTTTTGTTTATTTAAGGGACAAATGAATCTCTTCCCACTCCATGGGATTTCCCTTGATTTTTATATTGGGAGTAAAAAGATGAAGCATGAGACTTCTCAGCTGCATCTCAAACTGCATCTAATTCTAGCACATCTCTCTCAATCTTTGATTAAGCCTGTTCATCTAAAAGAGAGACACAGGGGAAAAATGGAAATGGGACTTTGGAAGAAGAATGACCATCCACATTCCCATCACAGCCTGAGATTTCCTACCTGATTGAGATTTTCAGTAGATAGCCCTAGGTCTAGTTTCCCACTTTGGTCCTGTTGCCTTTGGCTCCAATAGAGGACTTCCAAGTAACTAGAAAGATTTCACCTCTCTTTTGAAACATAATAGACAAATGGGTTTCTTTAGGATTAGAGCTGCACCTGGCTAGAGTCAATCTTTATTTTCCTAAAATAACCAGGATGAAAACTCAAAATAAAAAGAAATACCTCATGGGCAAAAGCTCTCCCAGTACAACTAATATAGACACTCAACATGGCTTCGTAGAAACTGACCCATCTCCCGAGTCTTATGTTTGCCAGAATTTCATGCCTATTTCAATTAAAGAAAAGTGATCTGATCTCTTCAGATGAAGGTGGGACTTGGAGATGCTGCTGCCTAAGGTTAACTTGCTAGAGAAAGGATAAGCATTCAGGAAGTGCGGGGATGCGGTACAAGGAAAGACCTATCAGCTAAGCAATGGCAGGATCCCTTCTGCCAGTGGGCTGGCTCAGGGAGTAAACCTCCCCAGAAGGAACTTTGTTTCTCTCTAGAATGAAAGTGGGCAAAATGGTCACCTTATTTGCCTGGAGTGAACCAGGTTGAAACTGAGAAGGCAGATGTGGGTGTTAAGCCAGATGAAGTCATATGTTATAACTAAACGATGTACCTGTAACCTGCCTGGTAGTTTAAATTGCACCAAGTAGTTTATTCATTCTCTCTAAACAGGTCATAATAAGTGTTAGTCTGTGATCCACTATGGGAGAGGGATTTCTGGAAAGAATAGAGCCAGTGGTACAGGATGCAAAGTTGTTATTTAAAGAGATGAATGTGGGCCAGGTCCCATGGCTCATAATTGTAATCCCAGCATTTTGGAAGGCAGAGGCAGGAGGATTGCTTAAGGCCAGAGTTCAAGACTAGCCTGGCCAATATAGTGAGACCCCCATCTCTACAAAAGATAGAAAAACTTAGCCAGGTATGGTGGCAGGTGCTATAGTCCCTCCCACCATGGGACTACAGCTCCTGTAGTCCCAGCTACTCAGGAGCTGAGGTGGAAGGATTGCTTGAGCCACGATCATGCCACTGCACTCCTCCCTGGGTGACAGAGCAAGACCTGACTCAATAATAATAATAATGCAACATAAACTATCTTTTACCTCTTGAATAATGAATACAGATGCCATGACTACATTTGTTTGTTGGGGACCAGGGAGGCTGGCAGTGAGAATTCAGGGTGGAAGTAGCCGTGTACCCAATACCTATTGTGAGATGTGGCCTGGGGAGCCCTGAGATTTTCTGGCCAGGCTCACTCACTACCCAGACGCCCTCTTCCTACATGGCGAGTCCCTCAGCCCCTCCAAGGCTCACTTCTCAGACATCGGAGTAATCCACATCCTCTATCTTGAGTTATTCCTCACAAGACCTGCAAGTTTTCCTAGGAGGGAAGGAAGACAGGGTTGAACCCACATAATTCTCGAATCTAGAATTTGGAGGATTTCTAAACCACTTCTGTAAGTCAGCCCTTGAGAACTTGTAGGTTTTCTCATCATTTGCAGCATGAGAGTCTGGAGTAGACTGTTTGGATTTGACTTTTGGTTCCCTGGGCAATTTACTTAACCTCTCAGCTGTGTGTCAGTTTCCTTATCTAAAAAGTGTGGTTAATAATAACTGACCTCTCAGAGGTATTGCGAGGTTACTGTGATGATTAAATTAGGTGATTCATATAAAATGTTTAAAAGAGTGCCTGGCATTATTATTAATAGTAATAAGTTTAGCATAAGTCTTGCCTGCTGATAAGGAGCTGGATTGAATGACTACTTAGATTCTATTTCTTGGCCTTCTCTTCTCTGGACTAGGTGACCCCAACTTTCTCCTTACTTCTGAAAAATTTATCCCAGTCTGCTAAGGAAGAGAAAGCCCATGTGTGCACGTACACACATGCACCTGCACAAACATTTACATATAATTTTGGTCTTCTATACAGAATTAATAGAGCTACTAGATCTAGGAACTGACTTGAAAGAGAAAGGAAACCGTGCTTTTTTTTTTTTTTTGAGACAGAGTCTCACTCTGTCACCAGGCTGGAGTGCAGTGGCACAATCGCGGCTCACTGCAACCTCCACTTCCTGGGTTCAAGTGATTCTCCTGCCTCAACCTCCTGAGTAGCTGGGACTACAGGCATGCACCACCACGCCCAGCTAATTTTTGTATTTTTAGTACAGATGGGGTTTCACTGTGTTGGCCAGGATGGTCTCGATCTCTTGACCTCGTGATCTGCTCGCCTCAGCCTCTCAAAGTGCTGGGATTACAAGCATGAGTCACCATGCCTGGCCAAAACACTGCTTATTACAATTTATAGGTTTATGTTCAAAAAGTTGCTAATCTTATTGCTGTGAATCCCTGCCATCTCTAATCCTGCCCACCTATAGGTACTGCAGACCAAATTACAGATTCAGATTTGCCCAGTTCCTGTTCCTGTCTTGACCAATCCTAGTAACTTATTTGGGGCCCAGCCCCATCTACAGTGGAAGGTCTATAATTGGCCTTGCTTCCTTAAGCTGTGTACCCAGTGGGCCCAGGACTAAGCCTCATGAAGCTTTTAGAGGCGCATTGAGATTAACCTTTCTCACCAGTGCTCACCTTGTCTTCCTAGTGACCATGGCTGGCTTCTGCCTAGTTCTAGAGTTGCACTCTAATTCTCTTCCAGGCTGTCGCACTGACCTACGTCTCTATCTGTTTTAGAACTTTCCAACTTATTTGTCCAATGCCAGTCCTTTTTCCAAATAAATTGAACTTTATCTTGATGAATATTTAATATTCAACCCACCTCTGGTACCTGGCTAGAATCATCTCTGAAATCTAAAGCTCTGCCACTACCTGCACCAGGAGAAGCAATGTGTCACCACCAACCTAATAGTGACCATCAGCTTTGCTGGAGTTATGCATTCACCAAACTGAATCTATCAGCTTTCCCGAGTTCACTGGGACACTGATTTGGACCAGACACCATCACTTGAGAGACAGCGTTAGCATCAGGGTGAACACCACCAGTACCTGACCTGCCTGTAATTAGCTTCCTCCTCTTTCCCTATTGACCCACAGATTAAGTTGCTGCATGCCCTGGAGCAACACCTGGGGGTGTGTCAACTGAAAACTAAGAAACTAAGTACTATACATGCAATTTGTCTATGTTCACTGCCCACTCGACGTTTCCTCTAGGATACTTGCAAGATGTATCAAACTCAGTAGTCCAAGACCAAACTCATGATCT